GTGAACTTCCCTGGACTAACTCACTAGCCTCTGTTGCAGGCCGACTGTCATGAACCTCGAATCAAGGCCAAATTGGTTTGTGCTATCGTGGTATATATGCTTGGTTGCAGCCCCACTGGACAGTCTCCTGCAGTGATACATAAAAGGCTTGCTCTCTGTAAACCAGCTGTCTCTGTAATCAATTCTTTCTCGGCAAAAGACAAGAATCCATTTGGCTTTTGCGGGGTCCCTCTCCTGTAACAGTAGACATGCATATCCAGATGTAAACCTTCATTGCGCTGTACAGTTAAGATTAGTACATAATGTGCACTTTATGAAATATTTGGACATTCGAGAAAAACCAAAAATTTTAATATTGCTATTTTCAAGCCGAATGCACCAGTTACCTACTGGGTCTTAGAACGTGCCCTCTCACCCAGGCAAACTCTTGTCTGAAGGGTGCTTATCCCTTGGAGAGATCACGCTGGGTTTGCAGTGTCAGCCCTGCTCCTAGGAACACAGCTGATCTTCAAGAGGAAAAAACAAGAAACAAGCCAGAGACTAGAGACTTCTCAATTCTAACCACAAGGAGATAGACTTAAGGAGCAAAATAATGATTTCTCTAGAAAACACGGGAACATTTTTCAAACGGTCAAGTATGTTAATACCAAGTTTATCTGTTCCCCAATATCAGTTTTTACCCACATTGAACAAAAGCTAGGTTTTTCTCTACAGAGAAAAAAGGACAGCTCTGTTGAGAGACCAACCACAAGGGGGAGCCATTGAACCCCTCGGTCACAAGTTACACTCTTCCGTGTTTCCGCACGGAAGCCTGGCTCTGTGACACCAAATGAGCAGACGTCGGAAGCGGAAGTGTGCATCCTCGGGTTTTTAGCAACAGCGCTTTGGAGCGAACGTGGTCCTTGGTAGGAGCGCCGCAGGCTCAGGCTCTGGTCCTGGGGGCGAGACGCTGCTACCGTTTTCCCGGGCACTTTCGGTCTCTCCACCTCCCGGAGAGTTTGGACTTCCTGTCGCCGGGACGCCGCCGCCGCTGCTTCCTGCGCGATCCCGGCCTGGCAGCCGCAGCCGCCTCCTGGCCTCCGAGCAGCAGGGATAGACACCTGTGTCTCTTGGTGCGGAAACAGGTAATATCGCGGGACCCCTCGCTGAGCAATCGCTCCTATCTGTTCTGGGCGCTCGATCAGCCAGGACTCTGGTTGAGTGTTGTTGGCCCGTCACATACGGAGATTATGGTGGGGAATAGATATCTCTTCCTTCAGTACTTATAGGTGTTGAAGACAAATGAAAAATGAAGAGTTAGAACAGGAAAAATGGAGTTGGAACTACTTTGGCTGCTAGATTCCTGTGTTGTTAGCTTCTTATGTATCTTTGAATTGCTGGTGACTCCTAGCTAGTCCGTGTGTGTGTGTGTGTGTGTGTGTTATGTATGTATATGTGTGTATGTATATTTGTGTGTGTATGTATACATACATACACATATATATGTTTATATGTGTATGTATATGTATATGTATACATATACACACACCCCAGAAGGAAACACTGCTGGGTCCTGCACCATCTTCACAATCCTTGGTATGTTTGAGTCTGTTGTAACCACTCTTCTCAGTGGACATTTAGGACTGTATTTGTCCCAATTTCAGGAGGAAAATATTTATTAAGAATGATGTTTCAAGGCCTTTCTTTGGATGTGAGGCAGACATTTTCTTCAAGTCCGAGTTGGCTTGGAGAAACGTGTGAGGAAGAGTCTTGATAAGTGCAATGAAGGATTCTTTGGTTCAGTGCTGAGGACTGAACCAGTGTTTTTGCTCTCAAAGAGCCATGCTTTGTAAAAGCTGGAAGGCTTCTCGGAGCACAAACCGTGCACGTTCCCAGTGGTAGGACAGCGAATATTAAGAATGACCGAAGACGGGAGGCCTGCGTGATGAAGCTGATCAGAATCCACCCGCAGATCCTGGAGGGTGAGCCGTGCTACAGTGTTGCCCAAAGTTTCTCATCTTCTGTGATACGTATTTTACAAAGTCAGTGACTGAAGGACAGGTCCCTGGGTGGTGGAAAAGGTGAAAGGGTGGCAGATTGGATGCACACATGTGCCATGGAAGAGAGGCCTCGTGAGCTCCTTCCCAAAGGCGGCAGCACTGAAGACCCTGGGGAGTGCATTTTAAGTCTCTGAATGTAAGTGTCCTGGTTGAGAAATCACTGGGAACTCCAATGCCTATAGCGTAATCTTTTTTTTTTTTTTTTTACCACTTAGAATTGGGGCCCCTGATTTTCAGTTGTTAAGGAAGAAGTCTTTATTATTATTATTATTCGCAAGGTAATATAGATCCTTTCACCTTAAAAAATCACTTTTTACTCACTTCACTTCCTCCAGTGTGATTCTGTTCTCTAAGTCAGTATAGCTTAAGGTTGGTGTGAAATCTTTAATATACCCACTTTTCTCTCTGTGTCCCTGTAGTATTTATATTTTCCTCCTTTGACTTATACATTCAGGCCAAGAATTAACTTTCTCTTTCTATTTTCCTTTTATCCATCTGTTTCTTCATATTCTATTTCAACCATTTTGCGTGTACAATTCCATAACGTTAAGGTCTCTCTCCACGCTGTGCAGCCATCACCTCTGTCAGTGCCTATGTTTTCCCGTCACCCTCCAGTCTGGCCCCAGGAACCATTTGGTGTTTCTTCATTTGCCTGTTCAAGAGATTTGATCAAAGTGGGATTGTACCATCTTTGTCCTCTTGTGTGTGATTTATGTCACTCAACGCAGTGTTTTCAGGATTCATGAATGGTGTAGCATTTATGAGAACTTCCTTTTGATAACTGGATAGTATTACATTTTTTATATGGATGCACCTGTGGGTGGACTTTTGTTTATTTTTGTCCACTTCTTAGCTGTTTGCAATAGTACTGCAATGAACATTGTTGTAAAAAAGCCTTTTTTTTTTTTTTTTAATAACCTGTTCATGTCTATACTTTCAAGCCTTCTGGGTACATATCTGTTGTTTTAAGTGTCATCTATCTTATGATCCTATTTGATAGATTAGAGCTGTACCATAAGACTTTCTTGGGTGTAATCATTTTTTTTCTTTTCTTTTTATTGTGATTTGGGCAAAGGGTTAAAGAGGAAATCAGTTTTTTGTTCAACAGTTTATACACATTTTGTTTCATGCCGTTGATTGCAATCTGCACAGTGTAACAGCACATTTCTCCTTTCTTCCCTGTGTTTTCTGTTTTCATTTGGTCTGCTTTCCTGTCCTTTCCTATCTTCTGAGTTTTCTCCCTGAACGTCTGCTCCCCATTAGTCTAGTATGAATGATCGTTCGTCGAGTTACTCCTGAGGCCTCACCCTGGGTAGATGTGCACCTACCCAGTGCTACTAGTAGATTATTGGCTTATAAGGGAAGCTTTTTGAAAAGCACAGTAGAAAAGTTTTCATGACAAAAAATTGAAAAGGAATGAACCATGGTGCATTACTCACAAAACTTGAAAAGTATGATCTTTCTGAAAATTTACCCATGCTAATGTCAAACAACAGTGCGAGTGTTGATCTGTAAGGGACAGAGTTACACAGCTCAACCCACAATTCCCACATTGGACTGCTGACTCCCTGGAGGAGCAATCAGGATCAAGATTTCTAGCCTGGCTGGACCTGGTTTCCTGTCAGGCTCTGTGATTGGTGAATTCCTCCATCTGTGATTTTGTTTCAGGAAGAAGAGGCCCGGGAGGCTGCATGAAGTAGGGAGTCCGGAGGCTGGAGCCTGTTCTGCCTCCAGTGCAGGTGCCCTGGTCAACTCGGAAGAGCTCTGGTTCAGCTGCGTGTTTGAAGAATCAAGGACAGCACACAGCAGCACTTTGTACTTGAAAGATGTTATCTTGGAGAGACTTGTGGTTCAGTTGCACAGTACCTTGAAGAATCAAGGAAACTCACAGCAGCAGTTTTTGCTTGAGAGACTCATTCTCAGGTCTGCCACAAGGAAATCAACACCCAAGCGAAAATACCCTCCCAGGGGAATTGGGAGTGGGCCACTCCTGAAGGAGGAGTAGCAATGCCCTTTGTACAACTGTCCTTTTCTGTTGTCTAGGTATTAGGGGCTGCATTTGGCCAGAACCTGCTGGTAAACTTCCTTACTGAATTCTACCAATCCCATCCGTTTTTCTATTTTCTTTCCTGATAACAGCTATGCTAACTGCCTAAAACCTTCAGCGTAGAGCATCACCTTGAACCTGGGAGGAAGCCAAACACCTGTCACTCTCTGCTTCCTCACCACTGTCTCCTCCCCATCCTTTTTCCATTTCAGCTCTGCAGTGTGGATCAGGGAGAACTAGTCCAGTCCAGGCTGCTGACAACCCGGGGTGACCATCTTGTACATCTGTAAACCTCAAGGAAGGATTTCAACGGCTCTGACTGGTGTGTGGACCCATGGTTATTCATCTCCCTCTGAACTGCCCAGTGCTCTGCTTCTACTACCCTCCCTCCTGAAGTGGCTCCTTGGGCTCAGAGATGACATTTCCTTATACTTCTGGAAGGTGCAGCCAGGAAATGGTGAGTACTGTAGAGAACTGATTCTTCTTAGCATAAATAGAAGAGGGTGGATATGAATTGTTGAGGGACTGCTGTGTGCTGTGGGTCTGTGATTCCTCAATGAAGAAAAGTGACAGAAGGCTGAGGGACTGAGTCCCAGGGGGTATCCGTGGTATTGGTGTCACTGGGCTCTTCCTTTGTACTTTTGTGGCTTTTCTAGATAGGGATGCTTGGTGTCACTTTCCTCTGACTCTTAGACCTGGCACTAGGGAGTGTTCCCATTCCCACCCTGGGCCTTGGTGCTCTGTGTTGAATGACAGAGTCTCTGGAACAGACCCTCCAGGCCTGTCCTCATCTCCTGTCTCTTAGCAGTTTTCTTGACTTGCCGTAGACACTGAAGCATTTTCTGTGCAGTTCTAATATGACAACTCTCCCTCTCACGTTGTGTTAGGGTAATAAAAGAAAAGGGGGAACGAGTTCACAGGTGAAGTCCCTGAGTTTTTATGGGGTCCTGGGTGGTGTTGATCCTCTCCTGACGATACCAGAGCTATGAAGCCCAAACAGTGAGCCAGCTGGATGTGGTGTGGGGCCTTCAGACGTATTTTTGTTTGCTCCTTCTAGTGGGGAATGCTTTTGGCTTTAGGCTTTGAGGTATGTGGCTAGTGTGAACACCAATCTAGATCCTTGTCCTCCCACCTGTGTCTGGACTGGTATTTAATCGCTATAGTTTTTTTTAAAACTTGTTTTCTTAAATGTAAACATTATGTCACTATTGGTATTGGTCTGCCTGTAGGAGAGAGTAGGATTTCCTCGGGTGTAGCTTTTACTGGAGCACATCTCCATGTCTTTTCTTCTCCACAGCTACTAAACGAAAAAACCAAACTTGCTGCCATCTAGTTGTTTCTAACTCATAGCTACCCCCATTGGGCTTCTGAGGCCGTAAGTCTTCACATAAGTTGATCATCATGTCTTCCTTCTGTGGAGTGGGTAGTGGGTTTGAACCAATGATCTTCCAGTTAGCAGTCAAGTGCCTGATCCATTTTACCACCACTGGTGAGTTGGAATTACCAGTTAACATCCAAGTGCTTAACCATTGTGCAACCAGGGCTACTTGACAAGAGCTCTTTTTATTATTATTATAAAATATTTCAAACAGAAAGATCAATACAATGAATCCCCATGTGCCCTTAACCTAATTTCAGAAACTGTCAGTTCATGACTAATCTTTATTTTCAAACCCTTATACCGATGTGGAACCTATACCTTCTCCCCTTGTGCCCTTGTTAATCAACAAGGAAAATGCCCTTCCTTTTGTAAAGTTTCCTTGACTTTTTACAGTAGTAGACTCATACAATATTTATGTTTGTATGATTGACTTATTTCATTCAGCATGATTTCTTCCAGGTTCATCCTGGTATGTGGTGTTTTGCCAATTCTACATTATTCTCTAGTGTTGCATAGTGTTACATTGTATGTATGCACTTTAGTTTGGCTATCCATTTTTCTGGGAGCTCTGATAGCATAGTGGCTAAGACACTTGCCTGCTAACTGGACGGCTGGTGGTTCAAACCTACCAGCCACTCCTCGAAAGGAAGTTTGGGC